GTGTAGGGTTCATAAAGCCTGGAGCTCCCTCTCCTTCACTTTGCCTCCAGAGCCATGTTGTTCTGATCTGTACTAGACAGCGTCTTTGGTGGCCATGTGGATGTGAAACAATGGGTAGGTCCAAGAAATGGAAGACCAGTGGCAGACTCTCTGTGATGTAGTAGATCGTACACCTGAAAAAAAAAGAAGCCCTTTGTAATAGCATGACCATTTAGCAGTTGTGTGCCTTCATCCTTCACAGGAGGGAATCTCCAACCGTGGTTACTCACCACTTCCTCTTGCTTTCGGCTAATACTCTGCTTAAGCTCAGTTGGTTTCAAAGGCTTCCTTAATGGAGCTTGTTTCTCCCCCATTGGTTACTAGGACACTTTATCAATTCTAGAAACTCAGATCTGAGGGCAGAGAAGGAGTGTTTCTGCTGCTGCAAGAAGCCACATTCTAGCCTCCCCCATCTCAGAAGTCTCCATCAAACTCCTGCTCAAGCATAGCCTCTGACTGTCCCTCCTGCCTTGCATCATGAGGCTCAGGATCTTGCCTCTGCAAGGTCTCTGTGAGGACCCTCTCATTTCCTGGTCATCCTCTCTGAGTTTTTGGAGTCTGCTTGCCTGGGATGGTTTGTCCACCTAGCATTGCTATGCAGTGCACAAATTAAAAGACCTCATGGAAATAAAATTTTGGAACAGTTCATCTCTTCATTCCATAGCCCTAATAAAGGCTCCCTTCGTGCACCAATATTTAAGTCTGTTACCTTCTGATATAACAAAAATTGATGCAGGAGGTTCAAGGGTGTTGAAGTTAAGAAAGAAGAGTACAGTTCCAGAAGTTTTTTCCCTCTAGGAAAAACATCTCTGCATTGTTCCGGTGTTGACTATTGCTATATGCTGCTCACAAGCCTTCTGTCCTTTTGTATAGCTGCATCATTCACTCTGATGCTCAAACCCTTAATTTTTTTACTTTTTGGCCAGCTGCAATGTGTTGAGTGCTGCATGAGCTAAAAATGCTGCCCTTCCCTCTGAGGCACGCAATGTGAAATAATCAGGAGGAAATCAAGACAAAAAGTAGCAATGTGAATATGGTTGCTGCAGCTGGAATCATACAGAGATGAATCTGAAAATGAGATGCAAATTAGAAAATGAGTGTAAATATCTTTCATGCCAATAACCAAACAGCATAGAGAGGTGAACTTAAAAAAGCAAGATGTAAGTTAATTCAGAAGATCTCTAGGCTTACCTGTGCACGTGAAGATTTTGGGGCACTATAGAATAGAACAGAGTGGAACTGAAGAATTGAAAAAAGAAAGGTCTTCTAGAGCAGTATTGTCTTGCTTTTGCTTTTCTTGTTTTTATACAAGCCTGAAAATGTTATAGGATAGGTAGATGATTGTGAAGATGAGTTACTCTTCAAGTATAAAGGAAGTTTAGACTGTAAATGCATTTTAAGGATGGATTTAACTGTGAAAGAAAAAGCTTGGGAAGGCCCTGCAATGCTGTAACCCCATTAGTCACAGTGGAAGAGGTAAAAGGGCTTGTTAGAAAAATAACTGCACATGGAAAAGGGGAGACAGTTGGGTGAAAGCAGCAGCTGCACCCTGGAGGGAAGGGTCAAGCTGGAGAAGTGGGTTGTAAAAGAGAGAAGGCAATTTTTGTTGTGACTGCCCACCGTCTAAATTCCCCCTCTTCTTATCTGTATTAGCTCAATGTCGCGTTGACCCTCCCTCTAGCAAGCAGAGTGAGGGGAGGAGGCTTCCACACTTGTCAGTATTGGTTGTTCAGTCAGATGAGGAGGATGCACTGATATGACACTAGTTGTTTTACTAGTATGTGGGTCAAAATAAAATCTGGCAGCAAAGCTTTTCAGAGACTGTGTGAGTCCTCCCCTCTTCTGTGATCTTATTGTACAGAGTCTGCAAGGTAGTTTGTTTTCCTTACGCTACTATATAGTGCACTGCAGATAAAAAATTCCTAATTCTGGTGGAAATCAAAGCCTGGAAGCTTCACCTCCTCACTCCTTAGGCTGAGTGAAGGCTCATTGTGTGCACCAGTGCTGGAGTTTTGTTACTCTGCAGTCTGATAAAAAAGTGAGTTAACTTT